GAAATTAAATAATATATATTAAATTTTGTTCTTTTAGGATAAATCGAAATTCAATAGATATGAAAATTAAATCTCACAATATCGATAGTAATCTTTTAAGACTTGCCCTAAAGAATTTAAACTTAAAATTAGCCACCTTTCACCCTTAAAGTAATTACATTATACTGAAGTTCTCAGATATAGGCTTTTGTTTTGCCCAACTCTTTTTTTCTTAGCCTATGGATGTATAACAATTCTCGGACTGTTGTGTGCAAAAGTAGATGCGGCTTGCCCACAAAAGTGCAGGGGCTCCTCTTTTTTAATTTTTCACCCAACTTAATTTAATTCCATTAGATGGAAATCAGGAATACTTAGCGTAGCTCTGTTCGATAAAGCGCTATAGATCATGATTCAAAGTATTTTGTCAACCTTCGTTCTTAATTAATTTAACTTTTTTATGTATAAACCTTATTTAATTTAACTCATTATTTTATATAAATACTAGAGATCTTGATTTTTTTAGTTGTAAAATAATTATTAAATTCATTATAACTTTTGTTTTTAAATAAAATCCATTAAAATTTTCAACTTGCTTACTTTTTCTTAAAGCTCTTATATATGAATAAAAAAGATTACCTGTGTAAAATGTCTAAATTATCTAAGAGAGGTCTGTTATTTTTTTTCGAGTAGGTTAATTCCTTTAAAAAATTTTAGTGATGTAGAAGTAATTGCTTGCGAAGGCAGCTTTTGCAAACATTTCCTCAATTTTAATCTTTTGTTGTTACTAACTTCTTTACAAAATATTTTATGCTATTTATCCTTTTGATTTTAGATTGCCTAGTATATTATGATATAATAAAAATCGAATTGAGGGATTATTTACTTATCAAAAATATTTACCTAAAATAAGTGTTTTCCCATAAAATTTTTTTTTTATCATCATTATTTTCTGTATTAGAACACTTCCCACGTAAAAATCACGAATGATAAGTAAAAACGTAAGTGTATATTTTATTATGTACATTTTATGGGTTACTGAATATTGTCCTAGTAAATTCTTGGATTATTTATAAAAGTAATATGAATAATAAAAATCTAATTCCATTATCTAGAGGATAATTTTGTATAATAAAAATTTGAGAAAAGTACGCCTAAATTGCGAGATGCTCTATGAGGGTGATGGACGGCTAGGGAGACCATTTGGAAAAAAGAGAAAATCCTATAAATCTATTGTAAATCATGCCCATAATCTGCGCAAAAAGGCATCTGTCGGAGTATTATGCTACCATGAATACGATTTAATAAAATTTTATATGAACATTGTATTCAATGTTTTATGCAGGGATGCGAACCCGGCAAAATTTTTGCCCGGGTTCGGTTTAAAGTTAAAAAAATTTGGTTGGTTCGGTTCAGGGAAATATTTTTGAACTCGGGTTTGGTTCCGGGTTCAGCTCGGATTTATGAATATTTGAATTGATAAAAAAAAATATTCTATATTTTAATCATAATTAAAAAACTAGACATAAATTTGGTATAAAAAATAAACTTTTTATTTTATTTATAGGCAAAATATAGTTATAAATACAAAGTATAGTCATGTATTGATTTTACGTATTTCTTTAAATTAACAATATCCAATATAATAATTTTTTATTTGACTTGTTCACTTTCATTTTCCTCTAATTAAAATCTTTGAGAATAAGTTAAAAATAAATGGCGTAAATGAATTTAATTGTTTAAAATTTATTAACAATCCAATAGGAATCTTTGAGAATAAATTTTAAAAAATGGAGTAAATGAATTAAGTTGTTTAAAATTTATTAACACTTAACTTAATTTAAAATTTGAAAATATTATAAAATGTCAAGTAAATTATTAATATTTGTATTTACAATTATACAAATATCTTATATTAATTTAAACAATACACTGAACTCGGTTGAATCCGGGTTCGGATCGGGGTTTTGAAAATAAAATTTTATAAACGGGGTTCAGGTTCATTTTGGGTTCAAATTTTTTCCCAAAAACATGGGTTATCTTTTCCGGGATCGATTTAAATCCCTGGTTTTATGATTGTTTTACAATAAAAATTTTGCCTAAAACTCAATTGCTTCTAAAATTATTTAAAATTTTATATCATAATATCATATTTGAATACACATACCATTAAAAAAAGGTATAAATTTTAGTTTAAAATTTTTTACAGCTTAATACGCATACTGTATTTAGATACACATATATATTTTATTTATTTTTATAATTAATTTTGTCAAAAATGAAAGAGAGCGATCAGTATAAAAATTCTAAAATACGTAGTTTACAAGTTTCGAACAATGGCATTTTTCCAATTTATAAATTATATCACATCTCTTGTACAAATTTTTAAGGAACAGGAAGTTAAAAATCTTATTAAATAAAGGTAAAAGAAATGTTTTATATATAAATATATTGTTATATTCATCAATAGTGTTAATTTAAATTTTAAGTTACGTGTACCTACATACATAATGCGCACAAATGCGATATGAATTTGGGCTTTTTTGATATTTTTTATATTATTAAATGTTCTTTATTTGCTATCTATAGTCAAAATGTACTGTATTCCAGAAGATAATTCTGATTCCTACCTTATTGGTTCATCAGATGAAGAAATTCTTCATTAAAGATCAGCAGATGTTAATTCTATAAGCAAATTATAAAATATAATTTTTTATGTATATTTAGATGATTCTGATAGCGATGAGCAAACAATAATAACAAAAGATTATAGAAAAATTAAATGGAAATATTCTAAAAACAATATGCTCATAATAATTCCCATTAAGAAGGGAAAAGAATATAGGCCAGTAAATATTATGAACCCAACATCCCACTATAAATTGGTTCTGTGGTAAAGAACTTCAAGTATTGCTCGCCCAAAAGGGAATTTATAGTATTGCTACAGCGAGAGCTTAGAATATAATTGCCAGTTTCCAACTGAAAAAGAATTCAAAAAGATGGAGCTTGGATCTTTTCGAGAGGCAACTATAAATGGTGTATAATTACATGCTACTAAATGGCATGATAATAGGTCTGTAATTATTCTAAGTACGTATATAGGTATTTACCCTGTTGGAGTTGAAATTCCGTGTCCAGCAGCAATAAATGTTTAAAATAAAAATAGGTGGTGTAGATTTATGTAATCACATAAGATCACCTAAATGGTACCACCGTATAGTATTCCATATGCTTGATATGATGATCATAAATTTTTGGCTAATGTAAAGACTAGATTTTGTAACTAAAGTCACCGGAAAAAGAGCAGACGCCATTATTAACATATAAAATTTCAATAGCAGAGATAGTTCTATATATGTAACAAAAATATGAACGCTAGCGTAAAAAAACGAATATCAATTGACACCAAATATAAAGAAAAATCTCGCAGAGGGCCGACATGTTTTATTCCGCAGAAATAAATACGAGAGGATCTAAGAGCACATTGGCCAAAATATAGTAAAAAGGCGCGATGCAAGAACCCTGGGTGCAAATTGGTTACGAAAGTGATTTGTACCAAATGTGGGTTATCATTGTTTTACATCAAAAAACGATAGTTTTAAATTATTTCATGAAAATTAATATAAATTTGTTTTATTATATTATTTATCAAATAACAAAATTATATGTCTTTATTTTGTATTAGATTTGAAATTGAAGAAATACAATACTTTTTACACGCATTGTGTATTTAAATACATATACTGAAATTTTTTTTATAGTTTAAAAATTATTTTTACTTTATTAAGGGCTCATTAATTGCAAAAATAAGTTTTTTTAAAAATTATATCATTTGATGTCGCCCAATAGAGGGTTAAATTAACTCGTTCATAAAATGTATTGATTATTCTATTGTGGTAGATTTTCGTATATATTTTAAAAGTTATTACAAATTATGGAGATCAATAAATGTAAAGATTTTATTAAACACTGGATAAAACATAGCAAATTTTAACAACAAGGAATCCAAACTAAATAAAAGTACACGTCTTATAATCTGTTTTTTGTTAATTTAAATTTTATAATTCCAACCGGTGCCTGGTTTAATCATAGCCAGTAAATATTAGCATAAGAATGTATCGTTCCGCACTTCACGGACATGGCTTTAGGAACTGATGTATTTAATATTATCCTAAATTTATCGGAAATTATATCAGAGGGACCCTGAGTGGCAAAAACACCTCTCCACGCTAACGGTAAAAATTACTGATGAAAATTAAAAGGGTTTGTTTTATTATACAATTTTAAATAAATGTTTATAAATTTTAAATCTTATAATACCAAAATTATTAATAATTACATTGTTATGTTAAGTAAATTGGAATAAAAAAAGGGAAAACTGATATCTATAATTAAATTAAAAATTTTAGTATTAATTTATCACCATTTCACTCCGCATTAATTTGCCATAAGGTTCGGATTATATCATTGTTATTTACCGATTATTATTTTTTGTATAACATATTTTTTTTTGAAAAAAACTTTTCTACTTGAAATAACTGAATACTATTTTTACCTTGAAACTAACCTGGTCTAATGCTAAAAATTAAAATCGAATAGTTTTTTATAATTAGAAAAATTATGCATTTGTTATTTACATTTATTAGAAATAATAGATAATTCAAAAAAGATGCCCAATGTCCAATTCCAAAATTTTATTTTACAAAATCCATTTTGGTCGCGTAATGTATAAATGCGAGAATCATTTTTTTTAAAAAATTTATCTGGCTTTCGGTGCACCCAATTAGTATAATCGAAATCTAAGCCTGCATAAAACATGTAGTTAGTATATACTCTTCGCAAAAAATATAATAGGACATCTCACAATTATATATCTTAGAGAGACAAAAATATACTACCATATGTTAACACTATATATTTACTTTTAAAATTAAATTTCAAATTATCTAATAAAATATAAAATCATATATAAAAAAAATGTTATTTAATATCTTTACAATGATGATATATATTTATATTATATTTTTTTAATATTATTTAATGGGTTATTGATTTATGAAGATCTTAAAGAGGTAAATTTAATATTGCCACTAATTATTCAACCTAGGCATTTTTGTTGGCGGAGAAAAATATGTGTGAGATTCTTTATGTTTATCGCTGTTCATAGTATTAAAATTAGGGATGTTAAGCAAATGATTCGTATTTTCTTTTTCCAAGTAACGTCTTATTTGGGGATTAGAATTAGTAGAAATATATGGAATACTAGACCCTAATATATTAGAATTCTGAACGCATGGTGGAAATAGCATTCTGGAAGTCATGTTTTGTCTACCGCGAATATTGGAAGGATAATGAATCATGCTACTTACATTTGTGTTGTTATTGGTATCAATGTTATTATAATAAGAGGGGGTAGTATTGCTATATATTTGTGGAATGGAATTTTGGTGCAAATATGGAAGCCGGTTGTTAAAATTGCCAGTTCTTATCACATTGTTGTTATTAAAACTCGATGTGTTTGGATTACTCAAATTTTTATAATTATGAAAAATATTGTTCGGGTTAACAGGTGTAGCCACCACTTTATTCTTGTATTCGACACAATTCTCTTTATGAAGAGGCCAGTTATTACGTTGGCAGTGGACACTACAATACCATACTCCGATACAGCAATAAGAGAAGGCTTGCTTAAAACAACTTACGCACTATAAATAAGCAAAAAAATTGTATTTAATAAATAATCGAGGTTTGCAAAATGCGGATTTTTAGGGGAGAGCGGGATAAAAGTCAAAATTATTTTAACGAATGAGTGGGTTTAACATTTTCTTATTTTAAAAATATTGCAAATTTTATAAGTAATATATTAAGTATCAAATTATTTGCAAACACGAGGGCTGAAAATAAAATATTAGGTAGGCGGGATTTTTTTTTAGCAAGATCATGAATGGACAAGCTGAATATTTAAAACAATGGGCGGAAGGGTTAGTGGGATAAAATCCGCAAATTGTATCTAAAAGTATTATGTTGAAACTAGTGAACAAAAATAAATCTTAAACTTTAAAAAAAACTATAATTAACATTACCCATTGTTTTTTCTTGTTTTCAATTATTTGATTTTGAAGAGCACTTATTTGTTCCGTAAAAATACTCTTGAGGTCATCTTTTTCTAATTCGAAGTGTAATTTTAAGCTAGTATGCCGATAATCTAAAAAATTGCCCAATTAAATGTTTTTATATATCTGCTAGTATGCCGATAATCTAAAAAATTGCCCAATTAAATGTTTTTATATATCTTCATTTTCTTAGTTCCTATTTCTAAATAGGGCTGCAAACGATCGGCTTTTATTTTCATTAACCCGACATTTTTTAAAACGATCCGACTTCGATATTTAAATAAGTTATAAATTGTATCCTTTACTTATTTTAAAGACGAAAGGAATAATAGAAAAGGGATTAACTTTATATATTATTTGAATATTTTTTTTTGAATCATATGTAGTTATCTTGCTAAAGACCTTCAAAATCAAAATGTTTCGGTAAGGTCCCACCTGCAGCCAATATTTTATCTAGGTCCGCCCTGACCCGGGTTCTTAAGAAAAGTTCATAGGAAAGAAATCTGATCATATACAATAATATCTATGTGGTATAAAAATAATGTGTACATAGGAATTTAAAAAAAAGGTTAAAAAGATAGTTATTAAAAATATAGCGACGAGCTAACCTATACAAAGTTAACTATGACTCAAATTTTTTTAACATTGAATAATTTAGTTAATAATGAAGAGGTATGATAAACTTAGTAAATTATAATACCAGATGCAATGAAAATTCTATCATAAAAGGTAAAAAAAAATAATATACAGTTATAAATTCAAAAGCTTACATAAGTTAAAATAAAATTAGTAAGTAGAAATAATATAGAAAGTAATTGGCTAAAACAGCAAGGGGCCGATCGGTAAAAGTAAGGATCCCACTTATTTAACAACACTATCCATAAGATTTTTTTTTTTAAAAAAAGTTCAAAATATGAAATAATAATCAAAAAATCCCTTGAAATTTCCACAAAATTTCTTAGAAAAAATCTTCAAAAGGCTGACTAAAAAAATTTATGGGCCGGGGAAGAAGCAGCTCATTCAAAAATTTTTGGGACGTAATTTCTGAAATAAAACTTAAACTTGACGAATTCAATATTATGATATTTTCCTTTAAAAAATATTATAAAGGTCAGATAACCGTAATAAAATCTTGGCGGGAAAATGGTATTTTGCTTTATATATGTATTAAAAAATAAAATCAATCCAGACTAATATGGTCATTGCATCTTAGATTTAGTTTTTAAAAAATAAGCTAAAGACCGAACTATGGCTCTCACTAATCGTACGTAGGATACGATCACAATAAAAAGTAATTTATTTAAAAAGCCATTGCTTTCGGGCATAAAGTTTTCCTAATTTTTATTTTAGGGATATGCAATTTTTTAATATATAGGGAAATCTTATGGGAGAGAAAAATTAATCCTAACTTATCCCATTCTCTTGTGTAAATGTTGATTCCACACTAAAGTGAAAAATAGGCTCTCAAAAGATTGGAAGAGAACTATTAATTCCTCTAGTTCTAATTGCATAATATTATAATTTTAATTTATAAATGTTTTGCTTTAGTTTTAAATTTTTCTTAAAAATAGTACTATAACCGGCAAAAATATAAATATTTAATTATAGTATATAGTATAATGGCTTTAATTTAAAAAAAGATTAAAAGTAAATAAAATAATTATGAATATTAAGATTAAATAAAAATTATATTATAAAAGATTTATTAAATTAATTTTTATATATATTAATCAATTCTTAATTTTTTTATTATTTAAAAAAAAAATCAATACGAGGTTCGAGTTCCGAATTTTAAAGGTTAGAGTATATTAAACTGGGTTCCAAGTTAACATATTTGCAAAAATTCAAACTACCATAATAAATTCCTATCGGATTGATTTTGTGAAAATATCAGCTGTACTCACTTCAAGACCAATATCGACATGGGTCTATATTATGCAGCCCTATTTTTAATCATTAATAATGTTAACTTGCAACTAATGTTACAAAATCGAATGGATTCTGATTCGTCGGTTTCAATATTTTGGGGGAGTCGGTGTTTAAATTAGACGATTTTGCAACACTTGAAATTATTGGGCTGAAAAGGGTAAAAAAGTAAAGAGCTAACTAAATTCTTTATTTGCATCTTCCAATTGCGTCTTATAGTGCGAATGAATGTTAATCATAATTTCCTTTAGCGCTTTTTTATCTAAATATTTTTTTTTATCCCTTTTTCCATTAACCTTTATCATATTCATTGGATCATCTTCAGATGTTGATGGTATTTGGATACAATTTGCATTAATAATTGGTTCTGCGGGAATGACAATATCAAAATGATTTTCATTATTCATAGGTGTGACAATTGGATTCTTATGGCCAATATTATCTCTTAAAAGGTTTAAGTTAGGGATGGGAATAATAGATTTATCATCAGTTGCAGCTAGAACATCCTTGATTTTTAAATTGGCTATGGGAGTAATAGGTGTATCGCCAGTTGCAAGAAGACCATCTTTGTCTTTTAAATTCATCTGCTCTTTTATATAACCTTTAATCCTCAACTCAATCTTTAAGCGCGAGAAATATTTTTAAAAGAATAAATAATTTAATATTATAAGTAATATAGGCTTACGGTTTTCAAGAGAGACTCGAGATTTAATTGATTAGAAGCGGCTTCGCTATCGCTATGTTCGCTTTGCTTATCCATACTATTTTTCAGGTTGGATGGTAAATTCTAAAAAAAAAATAGCAATACAAAAAATTTAATTCTAGAAATGTTGATAATACGATGATCTCGAAGGGCATTAAAATTACAATTACAAAATCATTGTAAATAAAGCAGTTATAAATGCTTAAAATTGTAATAATTACTTGATTAAATAATTCTCCAGGAATATCTATAGCATCAATTGAACATTCCACATCATTATTTATTAGGTTTTGTTTGTTATATTTGATCAGTTGATCATCACTTAAAATTTCTTTCTTGGCTATGCATTTTGGTTTCCTTCGTAAAAGGTTTAATTCGTCCAAACCTGAGGAGGGACTTTTAGTAAGAAACGAACTTATATTATCTATAATCACATCCAGTATTTGAATATCGCTACTGTCTTCGCCATAATCATTTACCGTGTTATCATTACCACTAGTTATCCCGCTATTATAGACTAAAGAACTAGGAACAGTATATTGTGCTTGATTTAAACTGCTATCTGTCGCTGTTAAGGTATCATTTTTAATTATGTCTTGAGTTAAAAAATTATATGATTGCACAGTGTTTATCACAACAATATCCTCAATATTACTAACACCATCCATTAATATTTGATTGGTATTAGTTTGATAAGTATTAGCTTCAGAAGTTGGCGACAAACAAATTGTATCAATTTTGTTGTGGTTATCATCTATACAATTGTTTTTATCTAATGGACTATTAAGCAAGGAACGATCTTTGAAAATTAATGAGCTATTATTAATATTTAAAAACTGCTTGCAATAATTCAAAGGAGAAAGAATTAACGATTTTTCATTACCAGACTCTTCAGATATATCTGATTTAAAAAGTGTAAAAGGAGAAATTAGGTATATGTTTATATATTTTGAACCGTTAAAATAAAATATTGTTATATTTATTAATTGCACAAATTTACTAACATTTAAATACTAGCAGAATAAAAATTAAAACGATTTCATTTCAAAACCAGATTTATAGATATAATTCATGTTTAAAATAATTTAATATTTTAAGTGTATATTAGTGACATAACAATCATATGGAGGCAGAAGCAATGCATGATTTTCCTTAGGCTGGGTAATTATTACGTACATATAGTAAGATATATTATCTGGTACATGCATTTAGACTTTAACCTTAAGATAGTTGACATTCACGAATTTCGAAAATTAATATTAAATGTATTGATAATTATATTTAACAAATTATTCGGGCTTTTTTATAAACAAATGGGCAAAAATCAAAAAAGGCAGTTTGGGAAGTAAATATTTAATTTTCAAGTTTTTTATTGATCCGGGTAGTGTTTAAAATAATTTGGCAAATTTTAAATCAGTCAATTAATTTTACAGTTTTTTTTTATTTGGGAGTTTAATTTTTTTACACTATTTATTATTTATTTTAGATGAGAATTTAGTTTAAAAAAAGAAGAAAGCAATGTACTTACTGCAAGAATTTATCTTCTTTATATGATAATGTAACATTCTCGAAATTCTTAGTGATGTAATAAGAAATTTTTTAATGAGACTAAAGACAAAAAAATATGGACTTAAAGGTGTAAGCGAATTGGAAGAATGGCTTACTGAAAAAGCATTAATACCAATCTGAAAATTTTGAAATAAATGATGATAAAGCTTTATTTAGATTTTTTATATCTACAAAAGGATCCTTCAATCTAGCCAGTCTTTCAACTATTTATTTAGATTTTTTATATCTACAAAAGGATCCTTCAATCTAGCCAGTCTTTCAACTAAGATTCATGCGGATGCCATCTATAAAATGTGGCGGGGTGATGCAGAACATTTCTTTCCATCATTTGAGTTGAAGTGTGTTATAATGAAAAACAGAAGATTATTAATTTGTTTTTAAATCTTTAATTGAGAGGGTTAAACAGATATCTGGACATTGTAAAATAGAAGTATTAATATCAGATGCTGCAAAGCCATTGACAATGGCTTTACTTTGGGGTTTGGCAACAAATCAATTGCCATGTATTGGGCTCATGTTTATAGAAATGTATTATGCCTAGTACCAAAATTACAAGCAAAAACGATGAAGAGGTCAACCTTCAAAGGCTAAAAAGCTTTTGTTGTACAATGTTTTAAATAAATATTTTGATGAAAAATTATTTTCAATAAAATATAACTGGATAAAATATTGAGTCCGCCGTTTTTAAAAGTGAGCCGTTTAACAACACTAATTAAAAGTAATTTAATATGTTCAATTGAAGATGTGGAAATATGGTGTTTTTTCGTTGAAAAAAATAAATGTATTTTTTGATTTTTCTAGGAAAATTGTCTTAATTTGTAATAAGCAGCCGAAGCTTTATAAAAAAGAGGCCTATAAATAATTTGAAATCAGGCTTGGATAACGGCGATTACGCTTATTAGGGCATATAAATTATTAAAAACGTAATATTAAGATTTAAATGTAATATTACCGTAAGATTTTAATGTACTTGTTTGAATTATGCCTTCATCTTCATTATCCTTTGATACCTTAAAAAAGTAGAGAAAACATTAGTAAACTATAATAATAAATTTCCTTAAATTTTGATTTGTCTTGTAAATAAATTCTATAAATGAGTAGCAACCGAGATTAGCATAAAAATATACCATAAATTTGAGTATTTTTTTTAATCAATCTATTAAAATTTTGCTTTCCAGCTATTTTAGACTGGTTTTTTCACAAATAAAAAAAACAAATTAAAATGTTTATAAATTCAATCGTCCGATAAAGATATTTACCTTTTCATTATTTTCTGTTGCTAGTGATTCTCCCAAAATATTTGAATCTACTGAATTTAAAACATTAGATACATCTATGTTATAAATATCATTGGCAAGTGGATCCTTGAAAACGTTACAATTTATAATTACTTTAGTGCTGTAGTCTTCTATGAACTTGGGGGATAACCTTTCAATCTCTTCCACATCGATTATTTCGGTTAAGATACCCTCTTGCTCAATATAGTCAACCTTTGTGACGGAATCTTCCTTAAGTAAATTAAGGGTTTTATCATTAATTTCTCGTAGCAAATCGTTCCCTTTATTCCTATCACTAGTTTTGAAATTTAAGCCAGGAATAGATAATATAGTGATATCAGATGAAATATTAGATTGCAAATCTCGACAAACTTGAATATCATGATTTTTCGAAACAGATTCAATAAATATATCAGTCCCTTCACTTTCTTGATAAATAGCCTCTATAATCTTAGCACCAGTATCGTCTTTTCTGAGTTCCCCACTTTTTAAATTCGTGATATTTAATGGCCCTTCGGATCTTGGGAACAAATCCCTTTCGGCCTCGATCTTATCATAATTATCATTCCCCTTCACCTCTGATGTAAGCTCTTGGGATCTCGACAAAAAATCTGTTTCATATTGGTACTCGGTTAAACATTCTTGAATATCCTTTATGATCGTTTCCCTTTTGTGCTCTAACGCCTTCATTATATCTTCTTCGCTAAATCTTTCGTCATTATAGGTGCCTTCTTCTATACGATTGAATACCGAACTATCATCAATTTCTAAATGTGACTTTACTAAATCGTCTTTAGCTTCTTTTATAGCTTTTCCAGATTTTGATTCCCTAATTATCGTTGCGTCTAAATCATCGTCCGATATATCTTCCAATATTTCATTTTCTTTGCTATCATTTAAATTAAGCATTAGATCATTTGTGCCAGCGTTATTAGTTTCTATCAAATCATAAGCATATGCGTCAAAATCATCAATATTCTGAAAATTTTCAATTGCGCCTTCAAACAAAGGGCTATCATTATTCGTAAGAACTTGATCCTCTTTCGGGACAGCTATTTCAACATTTTGAGAATGCAAGTTATCACGATCTTCGTTGTAAATAACGTGAGATAAATCTTTATATTGGCTCATTTGCAATGGACTTAGTTGGATAACCAATCTTTTATTCAACTCGATGTTTGACATATCAATTTTTGCAAAACTTCCGATATGATCATCATATGAATTTGGAGAAACTTGAGGCTCGTTTAATAAATGGTCATTTGAATTTAGTCCATCTTCCGTGTCATTTAATATAACGCAATTGCTAGACGATAATGAGTTGATTTCAGGTGCAATATGGTTGGCATCCAAATTGTTACTAGAAAGACTCGTCTTTACAGATTTTATATTTTGTATCATTTGATCGATGATATTTGACAAACTATGTGCACATGGTTTGGCTATGGCTATAGAATTTCCTACCTCCTCCGGAATATCTTTGACGATTGCGGGATTTTCACTTTTGGCGCCAACATTTTTATCGCTCTCATTCTGACATGTAATTCCATTATTTTTGACATCTTCCTCTAAATTTAAAGCGATTTGTAAATCCTTGTTTATACAAGAATGTTGTGTTTCCTGCTTCGAATTCACTATATCTTTTTCTTTGGCTATTAAAGTATTTCGAGGTATATCAGCGCATTTATCCTTCGGACGACTCTTAATTTTGGAATAATCAGAAGTGGAAGATAATTCGTGGGTAGATGATTGAAGTGAATCTACCTTATATACCTTACTTTTAACATGTGTGGATGAAGCCGATTCGACTTTCGCAATTTTGAAATGAGATGATTTATAAACATCGGTTTTCGCGTGTTTAATAGATAATTTTTTATTATATTTTTGGGAATTACTATTAGAGTAAGGTGAGTCCGATGACTTTCGTTTTTTGTTATTATGAATGACGTTAAGAGAAGTTTTAAACTGGTAATATAAAAACTTTAGCGTTTGATTAATGTCATATTTCGATCTATTATTATTGGATACATTTGGATTCTCAATTGAAAAGAGGGTATTATCCTCAGCATAAGGAAAACAAACTCCGAATTTTTTTTCTAAATTAGTTATATGTGTATCTAGTTCATTTAGAGCCTCGTCGTATTCCTTTCTTAAACGAGATGGTATACCAGTATTCATCGGGCCGCTTGGTGGGCGTCGGCTCAAAATAAAACATGATTGGAGTGGTAGCCATGATCTAAAAGAAAATGAAACATTTACACTTTAAGTTAATGAATCACTAATAGGAGTAAGATTTAAAATTAGTGATTTGCATCGGGTCTAATTTTTCAAGCCCGGCCCGAAATTTTTTTAAATAAGTTTTGTCAGCCCGGCCCGAATTTATTTAAATATATATGCAAAATAAAAGATATATTATGTAATATGGCGTCTATTTTTTAAATTTAATTAATATTTTTATTTTTCTAAAAAATTCAACATAAAATTGATAAATTTAGATATATTTAAAAAAAATTCCAAGGCTCGACTCGACCCAAATTTTTTTTAAAAATATTAGGCCCGACCCGGCCCAAACGGGCTGGGTCTACTTTTGCAGATCTCTATTTAGAATATACTATGAAAAAATAATTATTTGATCAAAAGAATTTAAATTTGTTAAGCTAAATAAATGCAAAAAGTCAAAATATTATTTCTTGGTATAGTATAAAAATATTACTTATCGTGTTTTCCAAAAAATCTAACATCCAGTTTAATGTTGTTGGCATTAGGAATACTGGATAAAATAAAATAATTCTTTTTGATGATTTTATATAAAATATGAAATATTGCTAATTTAAGAAACGAGCAAAACATAGCCTTATAAAATTAAAGAAAAAATTAATTAATATGTGTATAATTGATAACATTTATGTGAATATTTTATTAATTGTGTTCCCAAACCTTATTGAAATTTTTACAGATTCCCTTGATACCTATATCGCTGGTAACGGCTGATGTCTTTATTTTGACACTAATGCCCAATACTAAATTACAGTTATTTAATGTTTTTTTAAATATAATTCACCCTTATTAAATTTTTTACTACCTCATTATATAATATCATAATAATATAAATATTTTGATTGACCCCTACTGTAAAATAAACATAATTATGTAGTAAAAAATATCCTTGCTGACAATATGAGAAATTGCTTTTTTTAAATACAGAATCATCAATTTTAAATATATTAATTAATTATATAGTAAAATGAATATTTTAAAAAATGATTATTCAATTATCATTTGACAAAATTTAATATTTTTAACCAAATGAAATTTGAATCTCCGGCCTTATATCATTATTGAATCTTTTGTGTAAGTTTTTTTTCTTTTTCTTCCGTAAACATCAAACAACTATATATTTAAGAATATGCTAAAGAAAAGTGGTCACGGATTCATCTCTTTTATATAATCCTTAGTAATTGCGTTAATTATAATAATATATGACCTACCTAGAAGGAAGGGTATTGCTTTCGGTATTTGAATTTGTAGAGTCATTACTATTCGCTTGATGAATTCTAACCACTTTGCCTGGCCAGAATGGATAACCTAAAGAAAAATAGCAAATGTTTTGTTAATATAAAGTTTAATAGTAAAAATTATAATCACGAATTATGGACATTATTAGTGAAATTACAATAGGATACATTAAGTAAAAATTTCAATATTCGACTTTCCAAATTATTTTTGTCATTCGATGAGTTTTTATTTAAATAATTTTATTTTGAAATTCAAAAAATAAGATATTCTAAAAATGTTAAAATCTTTCTCTCTCTCTCTCTATTCTTTCTTTACAATACAATTAGTTGTCATTGTGTTAGCTTAAAATTATTGCCATTTCTCATAAAATATTTTTGAGAAATAAATATTATAATATAATAATAATTTAAAATAAATATAATTTTGGTGTAAATATAAAATAAACGATATTGAGATGATATTTATTTGTAAATGAATGTTTTAGAATTTCGAAAAATTTTGAAGTTAAGATTTGACCCATTAATTTAATATTATTTTTCAAATTTAAAATATATATAAACAAAAGTTTGTGAACTGCTGGATGTTCACTATGTAAGTAGTGCAGACATGCTTGTTTAAATGAGTTTCTTTTAAGCGCAATATTTATTTTTTGATTTGTAACAATCGCGTAGTTATTTTATTTCCAGATTTTATTTAATGTTTAGTAATTGGCTTAATTTTTAGACGCATTGTGTGCCGCGCTTTCTTCGGCTGGAGATTCTTTTATTTATAATTCGAAATTTAAATTATTTTTGATCTTGTCATGAATAAAAGGTCAAGAAATTGTAGATTTATGATAGTTACCTTTATTTTTTTTAAAAAACCGCTGTTTATTACTTTTATGAGAGGGAAGTAAAAATAAAGAAAAAGAAAATAATTCGAAACTTCTAAAAAAAAGCTAAGGAGAAATTTAGAAATTTCCTCAGCAGCACATCTTACAATTCTACAATGTCCTGACCTTTATACATGTCGTCAATACAATCAAAAATAATCGAAAACCGAAGTAAGCGCGACTCACAATGAGTTTCGAAATTAAGCCAATTACTAAAGAATTAATAAAATCTGAAAATAAAATAATTAAAGCGATTGTTATAAACAATAAAAAAAATTGTGCGTTTAAAACGCTGAGATACATTTAAGATCCAATCAAATTTTTCAAATTAAAATATCGCTTTCAGTAAATGATTTAAAATTGAGAGATTTCGCATCTCTTCCAATGCAACGAGCACAGAGTAAAATAACACAAAATAATAATGGGATAGATTTTTCAAAGAATATCGGTTAGTGGATATTTAATATCGGAACAGCCATATTTTTTAGTATTATTAAACTGCTCAATTTATAAAAAACGCATAACCCAATATTTTAGACAAACAATGTTACGCAAGCCTCGAGATAGCGTTTAGATGTCCAGACCTTTCTGTCATCAATGAGCAAAATCTTCAGGGTTTCGTAGTATATTTGGCTTGGGTTTGCCATTTTTACAAATAGAGCCGTTTTTAACAATACTATCTATTTATGTCAAAAGATTTATTTTACTTAAATATATAAAATAATTACATAATTTTTTAAAAATATTATATTCGAATAATTAGGAAATTTGATCCGTAAAAATTAGAGCAATTATTAAGTTAACAAATAAAGAATACATTTTTTTTAAAAAAAAAGAATACTCAACAAAACCTTTCATTTTCCCCCAAACGAGGGTATGAAGGGATCCGCAAACAGCACTAAACCATTCTGAGAAAGGAAGTGTATGAGCGTTGTAATAACATTCAGAGCAAGCTTCTATCTCACTCACCTCTTCCTTACACACTTTTTCTACAAGTTTAAGGGTGGAAAGCATATTATTGATTTCGGGGGTACTGCGACTTTCCTTTTCTAAGATATTAATAAAAATAGTTCTATATTTTATAATTTTTTTATTTATCCATTCGAAATATAAAAAATTTAATGCGGAGTGAGCAAATAAATTATAATGTAATATTTATTAAAATAAATAGATTAATCATATTTTACTTCCATAAAATATAGCAGTGTTATGGTATAAATATTTGATATCACTTATCAAACTTTGCGGTGAGCTATAGCTTCTGAGCTGTATATTCTATTTATTTTTTAAAGAAAATGAATTAAGAATAAAATATTTATGGTAAAAAGACTTGGTCCTAATCCACTTCTATAACTCTGAAAGGTTTGCACTGTTAAAATAAAAGTGAGCCTATCTCCTAACATTGGAAGTGTTTTAAATGAAGTGTTAAAAAAAAGTAGACTAAGCCTAAAAGGATATATATTTCAAAATTTCTCCCACATTAAAAATTTTCGCATTCATTTTAACATTTAAATGATATATAATAATTTTTAGAAACAGTATTTGTTCAATTTTTTATTTTATAAATTAATTTTAAAAAAATTATCAATAAAAAATCTAGTGTGATTTAGTAAATAAAGAGCGAACTCAGATGAAGAAATTTCAGAACCTTCCTTCTTTCTATTGGAAGTTGGTTTTTAAATTATTAAAAGACAACTTTTTTAAATAGAAGGATTATAAGTAACAATATACTCTAATAAAAATATCTTTTTAGAAGGAGGAGGTAAAGAATCATAGATCATACAGGGTTTGCTGTTGTTTTCGCATAAAAATTCTCATTACGAGAGCACAAAATACGTAAACAACCATTTTAATATTTTATTGTCATTTAATTTGAACATATAAAAAAAAATTAAAAAAGTCTATACACCTATTTTTATCGTTCTTTCGAACAATCAAAACGAACATTTATAAAACAAATAATTTTCTTATATTAAGCTTATCATTTATTTTTAAAAAATTCTAGATAAATTTATTTGCATAAAATAATCTTGTGCATCAATGGTATTGCATAAAAGTATATTATAAATAATCGAAATAATCTTAAAAAATTTATATATTGTTATTTTAATAATTAATGGGCGCCAATGGCTAAGCAAGGATTTATATATTCCTTTACATGAGAAAAATATCTTTCACAATCTTGAACTGATATCTATAGGTTTAGAAGAGGGATAAAATAAATCAAAATGTTAACTTTTTTTTATATGATGTTCAAAATGAATAACAAAATATAAAAAATGTTGTTTACATATTTTGTGCTCTCATAAAAGTTTCTGTGCGAAAACAATGGTAAACCCTGTATACTTAGGCTAACATTTCAATGATCTAAATGTAACGATGAAAAAAGTCTTTTAAATTATTTAATAAGCTTGATAAAATTTACGGCAGAACACAAAACTTTTAACAATGAAGGGGTCTTATTAGGAAATATCTTATGACATCCATTTTATAATTACTTATAAATAAACATTCTTTATATAGTAAAAAAAACAATTTATTACTAGTCACCTTTAAGTTTAAATTCTTATAATGTTGTTTCCTTCCCATATCCCTTTTTTTATTCTAATTATGAGAAATGTGTCAATTTAAAAACAACTTTTCCATTTAAATTTAAAAATGAACGTAAAACACAAATTAATTGAAATAATATAAAAAAGCATATTGATTTGGGTCCAAAAATAATAAAACTTAAATTTGAAGCTGTATATTTTATTTATTTGCATTATATTACAAATTATAAATTCTACTATATTCAAAAATAAAAATATTCTTATCATGAATTATATTCATTTCACGATATTCAACTTATCAATGCTAGATATATTAATCATTTTTTAAAAATAAATTTAATAATTACTGATTCGATATTATTAAAATTCATTGGTTTCACAACGTAGTCTGGATCCATGGGGAAATATTCGATATATTTGGAGCCTTTGCCTGTTAACTATTTCATAAGTTATAATGTAGAATTAGCATGATTTAATCAAATATATTTAAATGAGAATTTAAATTTAAATCAAAACTTTTTTTGAATAAAAATCACGATTCAAATCAATATCTTTTTTTGTTTGTAACCAATAAATAAATAAAAATATTTTATATATATTATTTCACTATATTTTGCATTGAATATAGGAACTTCAGTAAAACATCATTTTAATTAATATTATGGACAGTGATTAAGGTGATAAATCTCTATAAATATTTCAATTTGCTCTTTAATTTAAATAACTACTGATATTCAATTTATTTAATATTAAGAAAATTTATTAATGCAGTTTAAATAATAATATTAATTCTAGTTTATATAAAAATAAAATAATAGTTTTTGTACTGAAAACATTAAAATTGTTTCCAATAATGTATTTAAAATTAGTATAAATGGGATAATATGATATATTGATAATTCATATTATAAGTTCTTTTATGTATATCCAATATAGCGTTAGTTAACAATATTTTCGTCATAAATTTTAAATAAAAAGTAATAAAATGATATGTGCTCAATTAATAACTTCTTAGATGGGGAGAGGGGGGGGGGGTTTATAGGATAAGTAATATAAAATACTTTTATATTATAAAACTTAATTTAAATCAAAAAAATCGTAATTTAATCTGATTTTTTAAAATAAAAATATACTGATTTTTTATCAACTTTATTATAATGTGAATATTAAAGGTTATCAATTATGATAATTAGTTATAATCATAAAATAAAATCATTTATTTATCAAAAAATTCTAAATCATAAAAAGTATCTTTGGTTGAACTTGAAAAGGAAAATTTACTTTATTTAATTATAAAAAAAATATTATTCATACAAAGATACGTCGGGTCCGATTGAAGGCATAATAAAGTAATTTATTAAGTCTTTCTCGAGAGAATTTCTGTTGGACTTTTTGTCGATTTTCCGCGCCTCGTGTGCTGCTTTCCGCTTCAGCGATTTTCTTGATATATAATAAAATTACAATTTTAAACAAATAGATAAGTAGCATGTAATATAAATTGCTTTAAATTAATAATTAATCAAAACATTATTTTCAAGTTTGACAATTATTATAAAAATATATAACTTGACATTCGGGGCACGCGAATGTTATAACGCATAATTGCGCATCAAAATGGCAGCTAGATTCCAGCGATAATATGTCGGCGGTATTTAAACACCTACGATGAAAGGATCGTTGGCATATATGGCAGTTTAAATTATCTTGAAGAGGGTCATTTTCCATAATGGTAGTAGCATTGTACGATGATAACAACATGTGACAAATCCAACAAAAAGGGTCCCAGTATTCGACCTTCGATTATATATATATTTAAAAAAAATATAATTAATCTTTGAGAATGTGCACTCTCAAGGGTCACATAGAAATCCAATAGCTTATAAAACATGAATCCATCATTGCGTAAAAGTTAATAGAGGAGGCATTTAAGGGCCTGCCCCAAGCCCGTCCTCGTCTTAAAAAACATATTGGATTTTAATTTTGGTTAAAATACAACGTGGAAGAAAAAGATAAAATAGTGCGAAAACACGCTGACCTTCTACGAACAAGGGAATAACTAGTTGAAATCGAATCAATAATAATAAATACAATATAAAGTTAGGAGAAGATAAAATAGAAAAAATTGAACCAAGTCAAGAAGGCCAACGAGGGAAGGAAAACAAACAAAAAGATTAATATACGAACTTGAACTTGGGGAAATGAAATATGTTATATTTTATAAGGTTATTCAACATTATTTTAATAACATATATGTCAAGCAATATTATAACGTATTATATTATTTAGGTCAATGTAATTTATTACATTTATGATTATTATTAATTTTTAAAACATAAAAATTTTATTGGACAATAAGGTTTTTGAGATATTTCATTCTTTTATAAAATCAATTTTTATAAGAATTCAGGCAATGGAATATAATTCAAAATTATCCGATGAAAGAAAATCATTAAATAGAAAAGTTCAGCTGCACAGCCTATCACTTTGCAGAGTTATAATTAGCAATCTAGCAGAGTATAGAGAGAGTACAAGAAGATATAGAAGGAAGCTGGAATTTGGGACAGTGATAATTATATTGATCCCCTACCTGGTGGAATAGAATTCTTTAAAATCTACCCAATTAATGTTGTAGCTATAGGATAATTTGAATTTAAGGAGTAATTAATCATTTAAGTTTTATATAATTTCGCGGATATTTCTTCAATTTTACTATATTTTTCAGGAGTATTTTTCCAATTTTCCCTTCATATCTTACATAAAATTCAGGACAATTAATATTACGATTTCTTAAATCAAGTTTATATAATATTCTTGTAAACTAGAGATCTGCAACCCGGCCATTACTCATTCGGGTTAGTAACTAAAAATTAAAAAAATTTGTGCCGAATTTAATTTTTTAAAATATATTATCATTCAATTATGTTTGCTATAAAAATATTTTATTTGTAGAATTTTTTTACACAATTAAAAAATATCAAATTTTATAAATTCGGGTCGGGCCAATAAATAACTTTTTGATAAATAAAATTTTTCAGGGCTTGAAAAATTATTCCCGATGCAGATCACTATTGTAAACTATTTAAAATCACAATGTCAGAATTAAATTTTGCCTTATCAAATTTATAAGTTTCATTTCAATTTTCGAGATGGAATTAGAAGAACTTCAAATAATAGACCTAAATAAATAATGTCATGATATATCTTCGAATTGTCCTAGATTAACTATAAAAATGACGGGACGTAATGGTAACTCAATTTTTATGGATATATTGGGGCTACTTTTATATCTTCAAAAACATTAGATATTTATCAACTTGAATTTAGAAGATGTCGAGTCTTCGGTATCTTTTATAACCTTCACATCCATGAATGCATTAACAAATTTATAAAAATGGCTATAAATTTAAATAAAAAGATTATTGATTTATAGCTTAATAGTGGGCAGAAATTGAATGTTTCATCGCAGTGTTTCAAAACGCAAATAATGCATTTTAAATTGGACAGCATTTTTACTTTGTTTTAAATTTAGATGTTTCATATTAAAAAATAAAAATTAACCGTTCAATTTGAACATACTTGCGTTTACGGTTTTTAATTGCGTTTGGAAACACTTCGTTGAAACGTTCAATTTGTGCGCACTATAAGGCATGCATCATTTGAGTATAAAATGAAATGCCAAAAAAAAGAATAAGTCGAACAAGGAGAAAGTAGAACGACGAAGGCCTACTATCAGAACATCTATAGAAATAATGTCTGATTGTGTACATTTGATTATTTAACAATATCATTGTTTTATAATAATCTATAACAATAAAATTATACAGCAATACATTTTGCTCACTTCAACTAAAAATTAAAGATTAGATACAAACTGTTCCTACCTCTACTGTTAACTCTTTGACGTTCTAAAAAGGTACCATCATCGAGTTCGAGGAACAAATGGAATGATTAGATACATTTTAATTATTTTTTTGTACTTATTATTTTATCGAAATTATTATAAAAGTTTATAGTATTATCATATTTTTATTGAAATAAAAAATGGATATAAAATAGATTACATGTAAGAAATTCAAAAAAATTTTTAAAAAGACTTTTTACATAAAAAGATTTAAAATTTTAGATTAAATTTATACTTGAGCATTCTCAAAGAAGATCAAAAAAAATTTTCATTTTTCATCACAAATGATATATTTTCTTTTTATTATTTAAACAAGACGTTTAATCTTAATTAATTGCTTGTCCATATTTAATATAATTAAAATAAAATCTTACTTTGTTTACCCTTTTTATTGTATATTTTATAATGACACTCGTCATTGTATTTTGTAAAAGAAATGTGGCGAAAATTAAACTAAAATTATAGCTCTAGGGATTAAACACAACAAAACTTGTTTTGTAAAATGGTAAAAAAATTTGACAATTAATTAACACATGTGACGTGTTAATGGGTAAATATTATATTAAAATTATTTTATAAAATATATATTAAACCAAATAATATATTTTTTATTAATTAAATTAAATATTGCGGTCTATTCACATTCATTAATCATATTTATTACTTTGCAAAAAAGTTTTAAAATCTATTTAACCACATGCCATATTCCTTAAAAAATGATTTATAAATTATACTAAAGATAACCAAAATATTTGTAATTAAATTCATTTTAAAAAAATTTTAATGCATAAGATTTATACCTACGCAACTAACCTTTTCAAAGCAAATTATCAATGTATTTTAAAGTTGGCACGTAAAATGTCCGGTGTATAATTCTCAGTGCTTCTTGGAAATAATTGTCCCAGAATATTCCATTATAAAAAAAAATCATATTTAAAAATTCTTCGAAATTAATAAACAATTAACGTATAACGTATTTACTAAAAAAAGTATTATCCTTTACCCAGGATAGGTGGAGAAAATGGCTTATATATTATAGCTGCTTTCTAGTAGGTTATTGCTTATAAAAAATACTAGTGATTAGTTCTTATAAAATGACGACGACTAATAGTAATAGCCATTAAATTGTTTTGGCTAATATTTTTCTTCTATCTCAAGGAGTAATTTTGCCATCACTGATTTAATAATTGGATTTTAAAAAGGTATAAGGTTTCTTTCAATAATTTGATCACTGGCAAATTTTTTAAAAGTTGAATTTAATTTTTTCACAAAACGCGAAATACAAATTGGACATTTTTTAATGTAGTGTTTGGTTAATGTGATATATTCTATTTTTTCAGAAAAATTGGAATCTCTCATAGAAGTCTGCAATGAAGTGAAATTTTAGCCAACAGGCCCGCACTTTGTTTTAAAAAAAATTTACCACCCCCTCCCCACCTCTCCAAAAAGTTATCATTTGATTTGTGTAGTATTATACTAATAAAAAAATTTGGAAATTTGTCCTTATTTTTCTATTTTCAGTTTATTTTGTCTAATTGGGATAAAAAAATATATATGAAACGATCGTTTTCAAAACAGTTGCAAATTAGCAGTCTCAAAATACTCCGAATTTTGAGTAGTTGAAAAATGATATTTATTTGGTCCATCTTTGAAAACTGATGGCTAGAACAATTTCAAGTGTATACCCCGAGCCAGGTATAGAATCCTGCCTGTTATTTCTAATATTTACCTAATAACCAGTCTTGGATGAGCGTTTCACCTTCTCTATCATCATTCTTGCTTTAATAATTCGTTAAAACTATTTCCTAAAAAACATTGAATTGATTTTTTGGAGCATTAATTTTTTTATTAAATCTATATCATATAATAAAATGTAATAAAGCCAACCCTATTTTAAAAAATAACCATTTCGGACACTTCTAAAATTATTGGAAAAAACAAAATATTTAAGAAAAAAAAATGTTAAAAAAATATATAGCTAAATTTAAATAGGCATGTGAATAACAATAAATATTGGATTAAAACATGATTATTTAATATAATAAAAATGGATCAAGAGCGAAAATTGTATCGTCTTTGTGATTGCGCCAATTTTCGAATTTTATTCTGTGCTTGGTATTAAATCTAGATGAATATTAAGAATAAACCATTTAGCCTTATTTCTCATGTGGTCCTATATAGGTTTTTATTATCCTTAATGACGAAAAGGTTCTTTAATTTGTGCTTGTTGGTAATGTTGCCAAAATATTAATCCTAAAGTAGTTTTAATATATTTGGGAAAAACTTTATTCAAACCATGCAATGCTTCCATTCCGTTTCTCGGAATATATTCTAGTTGAATTAATCTTTCGTACAAAGATCTAAATTCAGAAATCAATTGGCCTTCGGATATATTAATATCCGCTGAATAAAATTCTGCCAAATGTTTAATTTTTTAAAATCAAAATTTAATATTTCCCCTGATGGATCTATAGGCAATAAAATTTGTAAATTTCTAAGCGCCATTTAGTGAACCATAAATCTTTTATGATTAGAGTCAAGAATGTGTCCATAAGTGATAATAATCCTTAATTGATTCAACATTTATAGGAATTATTCGTTTGTCTTGGTGCAAGTCGAGGCTCGCGGATGTCAATCCGCATTCATCTCTTTACATATACTTCATTTTGTTCATTAATTTCATTTGGAATTATTAACGATGTCTCAGATTGTAATAAGGAATAATCAGTTATTAGTTGGGAGTTATATAATTTTTATATAAAATAATATTGGCCTTTTTGGTAAGCTAAATTTTATTATATCCATCAGTATTTAAAAAAATATAAGAAATTATACCTTACATTTTAGAGGGATAAATTAATACACAAGGGAAAAATATTAATACTCTTATACATTTCATGAAAGCTTTTATATTCTTTCAAAACTAATTTATAATCTGAATTTTGTATGGGTTATTGGGGGTCGCTATATAGAGGGCGGGAGGCTTGGCAAGTCATGAGTAATTTTTGGCAAAAAACTTCCTAACGATTCAAGATGTTTGGATTCAAAAAGTTGAACATTTTCACTATTAAGAATATAAAAACCAGGGAGGCTTGGCAAGATATGAGTAATTTTTGGCAAAAAACTTCCCAACGATTAAAGATGTTTGTATTCAAAAGTTATCATTTTCACTATTAAGAAAATAAAAACCATTTCTCCATCTAAAAAGCTTGTGTATCGGGGAAGAAAAGAATAGTTGGAAAACATTAATTTCTAGTATAAAATTATCATTATTACATTTATATATTAGCTATATAAATTTTATAATAAACAACTTTTATGAGTCCTTAATTAATATTGAATAATCAATATTAATAAAAAATATAATTATCACATTATAAAATTTTGACCTAAGCATTAGGACATCTCGTCATGAAAAACATTAAAAAATATAATAAAAAGTGAAACCTCGTTGTCTGAGTTATGGTTAGGTTTTCTGATTTTCTTAGACCTATGTGGTGAGTCTGCGATACGAAGTTCGCGACGCACATCTGTTTCATAAGGAACGGCGTCATTACCGCGACACATTGTAATTCTGGACATGTCAATCTCTTCTAAACGAGTAATGTTGTTACCGGATGTATAGTTTCTATTGATTCTAGGATCCCTGGGTCTACCCACGTTATTATTAAGATTAGACATTGAGTTAACGTCCATTTGTTGGTTTTGGTAACTATTGTACCAATTATTTTGCGAATTCGAATATCCGCTCATCGCTGTAGGAACAAGGTTGTTATTATTCAAGAGACAATTGGTAGGTAAAATGTTATTATTATTATAATTTTGATAATAATTCATTTGATTAGGTGATGATCCCAAGATACCCCTGGAGTTGGCCGTCCACGTGGATTGTGGTAAACCGTAATAAGTTGAACGATAATCCATGATCAGGCCAAAAAATTTTTACCTCTAATTTAATAAGATGATTTTAAACAAAAAAAATAATCATTTGTTTTTCAATTACTCGAGGAGATTAAATAAATTAATTTTAGTAACAAAATAACATGTTTATTAATTGACAATATCCATGATAAAAATAACAAATAGAAGATTGCCTTGTAGTTTTTTTTAAAATTACATATTGTCGCAATTTTTTTTACCTAAATAATTCATTGCATAATTTCTTGAGGGGCGGATGTTATCAGTAAAAATATTCTTTATAAATAAAGTCCTTCAAAAATAAACTGGTAATACAGTATTTTATAATTTAAATAAGAATATATACTTTTATTTGTTAATAAGAAATTTATATTATTTTTTAAAAATTCAGATGGGCGAGCAGAACTGAAAATTTGTTCACTAACCGGAATTTGAGGGGTTTTATATGATTTAATAATAAATTTGATAAATGCGAAGAATTGATATAAAATGTGTATAATATAATTTGGTAATTGAAACAATTTATAATAAAAATAGCGAAAATTAAACTAAGGCAAATACATCGAATATTTAATGAAAAAAATCATCCATATGTATTATTTCAAAAGACGGACAAAAAGACACGAGATAAGCATTAGATCGGGTAATTTAGACCCGGTCCAGTGATTTTTGTCCAATTGATTTATAATTAACAATTTTAATAAATTTTACTTGAAATAATAGAATTTGGTAAAAGGAAATAAAGAATTGAAATTTTTTATTTTTTATAAAATGGTAGTTATACTAGGTTCGGGTATTCAAATTAGTATAGAAAAAAAATAATAATGACTAATGAAAATTGAATAAACAAAAAGTTGATTGACTTAAATGATGATTTACGAGCTAACAGAAAACATTATTTAAATTTTATTTAATGAGAAATTTAAGATGTTATCAAATTGAAATATTTTCGTTTATCACCAATTGATTTGTTATATTTTATAAGATAACATCAATAATTTTTGATTTTTTTAACCCTTCAATATTCTCAGGTGAAAAATATGACGTTAGTACTTGGGGTGGGATTTAATAGACCCCAATTTCATCAGACAGCACATGCAAAATAAACCATTAAAATATGGCACGAAACTATAGTCTTTAATGGATGGCAAAACATCAGAGTTGTTAAAGTAGTCTAACATTTTTGGTAGCTATAGCTAATAGCGGCTACTTTTTTTGTAATTATTATAATTTTTTATAATGCTACTTTTTTTGTAAGTAGCTAAGAGTAGCGGCTACTTCGCTACTTTTAAAAAATATAATGAAGGTAAGTGTAAACATGAAAATTTAAATATAATATCATAATTAATTATAATTTTTATTTAATTTTGAAATTAAAATATAACTTCAATTTATAATTTATATTTTCATTTGTATTATAAACCTAAATCACGTGTTAATAATATAAAATGTCATCGCCTATGGATATCCAAATCGTTGAAAGTGATTCAGACAATGATATTAATGAAATGGAAGACACCAGGGAAGAAAATGTTATTAATAGCTATAAAACAAATTTCCCATTCCCTAGATTTGAAAATTTTTTAAAATAAATATATAACCAAAACTGGTTTCATTTATTTTTTTAAAATGTAAAAAAAAATATTTCCTCAAATCAATCCAGTAGCTCAAGAAACACCTAAAGGTAAATTGTCATTTTTACATTCTAATAATATTTATTTTATAAGACTTGTTCATGAGTTTTAAGGAAATGGAGAAACATCTAAATAATTTACAAAGGCGACTCTACATCCAAAAAGACTAATTCAATTCAAACCAAATTAATTAATAATGCAAATGACAATATTTCTCAGAAATTGGCTGATAAAGTTATTGTTGATTTTATATTTTATACAGTTCAGTCAATGTCCTTAGTTGATAATCCATCATTTACCATGATATTATAACAATTTTATGCCGCCAGACACTAATGAATAAAATAGCAGATAACTTTAAAATGATGAAAGATGCTCTAATAGTAGAGTTATCAGAGATATCATATATATGTACCAAGGGAGATAGTTAAACATATAACAGAAGGTAAAAACTTATTTATATTTATAAATTGATCTGATTAAATATTTTTGAGCTTATTTGGAAATCATAGGCCATTGGCTAGACCCTAGAACTTTAAAAAGAAGATCTCTGGCATTAGCCCTCAAAATGATAATAGTATGCCAGACATACGATGTATAATCTATCTTATATTAAAAATATGTATATAAGATTAAATACGACCTTACCCTCAAGCGCCAATGTCGAGAGATTATTTAATAAGGCAAAACTTATACTTTCTGATCGTCGCCCTAGACTTGGGGATGATAATATTGAAATGATTTTATTATTAAAATGCAACAAATTACCATAAATATTTATTTTTATTACATAAATTTTTTTATAATCAAAACTAACTATATTTTAATATTTATAAATGTTGATTTTTATATATTTACTATACAATAACATTATAAGCAAAAAATAAAAATTTGTTTGTAAATTTAGCTACTTTTTTTGACAAATAGCGATAGCGGTAGCGCGCTACTTTAAAAGTAGCGTTGAACAACTCTGCAAAACATACTACACACTTAATCTAGAAATAGTTTCATCGCAAATATACTTGCTCTCGTAAATATCATTTTAAGTTAATAAAAATTTTACCCCTAAACATTCCCACCCCCTCTTTCTAAAAAATATATACAATATATGATTTTAAAGAAGAATTTGTAGAAAAAATTAGCAATAACGACAAAAAAAATTTTAATAAAAAAAAAGTGAGAACCTATAATTATTTTTATAAAAATCTAATATAGTCAAAGGCCTACAATAAGTGGACTTAAAGATCTCCAAAAAATTGATCTAATAGTTCTTTCCCTCCCCCCTTAATAAAATCCAGGATATTCAAATATTAATATAATCTAATTTTTAATTAATAATATCAATACCAAAACAGATGGGAAAAAAGTTACACGTATAATCAGGTAGAGTCTAAAGCTCCAAAAAACCCTTATAACTCATGAACTACTGAATAAAATCAAAATTAAATTTGAACACATATACTTTACCTAAAAATTTTATGTAATTAAATGACTGGGGTCTCATTGCCCCCCCCCCTTTGCAAAGATGGGTTAAACAATGCAAGATGTTTTTGAAATGAAAGAAATAAACCAAAACATTTGGTAAAATATTCATTTTTTTTCGGTTTTATATGTGGAAAGATAAAATAAATTAATTAGATTAACCCAATATAAATAAAGATAACACAAATAAAATATTTAATCAATTTCAATATAATAGCTCCTATAATGATAACTTTAGTGTTGTTAAACGGCTCGTTTTGAGCCGATTTTTTAAAACGGCTAACTCAATATTTCATTTAGAAAAATATTACGCAAGTCTGAATATTTTGCTCATAGAAGGAACAAAAGTTTAGACAATATTTTTCTGGCTAAAATATTGAGTTAGCCGTTTTGAAAAATCGGCTCAAAACGAGCCGTTTAACAACACTATTATAAAAAAATAATAATCCTAATATACAAATACATTAAAGACACCTAAATATGACAAAGTTTAAAACTAAATCGAGAAAAGCGCTTTTTTTAGTGTTTTGCAAAATAAAGTTTAATTTAGTACGCAATATATTTTTAAATTTCTAACCTTTTGCATTAAAATTATATTTTATATGCGTCTATAGGATTAAAATAAGTAAGTAAATTGTCCATTTCTATTTTCTTAGATATACTTATATTTTAATTTTTATTATATAAATTTTGCTTGCCCCTCGCTGACTTAGGTCTACCTCTACCTGCCCAAATTGATCTTTTTTATTATTATTTAACAATTTGTGATATCAAAAAAAAACTTTGATAGGTATTATTTTTGATAGCAATAACAGATGCAAGCAAGTTATTATTATCAAAAAAAATTCATTTTCTCCGAAAAGAAATAGGGCGTATGATTTATGATGTAGTCAAAAAATATCTAAAAATATTGGCAAAAAATAATTGGGTGGCCGTGGTAGTTTTTAGTTTTACAAATAATTACATTTATTTTAATTGATTTGTTCAAAGAGTTTAGCTCAATAAAAAATATTTTAATAGTATTCTAAATTGAATGTTGATTCACTCCTTTAGTAATTTATATTTTTTGGACTTGTATTACCTCAATTCTACCCATGAGTTGTTTGACTTTTTGTCGCCAGAATTGGACATCTTTAATAAGAATCCGAATAATAAGATATTCGTATTTGATTCCTAAATTAATTAGGCCTCAATTTGTGAATATTTGCCGGTGCCTTTGTGTATGATCTCTAATATATTTGTAGACTGCTCCGTTTCTATTCACTAGAAATCTTAAGAAAGAGGCGGATTCCTGTATGAATTTATTTTTAAAGCCTTCGACATTTTAATTCCTGGCAATAAGTATATCATCGTTATCCACGTTTGCTAAAAAATTTGCAAGAGCACATGCTAATTGAAAAGGTAGTTATAATATTTAAAATAAGTGAGGCAAGATGACTAAATCCTGCTAAAACTAAGCGACAATTTGCTATGGTCAATATCAGAGTTGGTAAAATATACTTTTCAAATGTATTTATAAATACTATTAAAAAATTATAAGGTATATTTTTTATAAATAAGCATGTAAAGTGTGTTTAATGCCAAAAATAAAATAAATTATTAAAATTCGAAATAGTTTAATAAACTAAATATTTTTTATTCAATTTGATATTTTATTTATATTATAAAATATATAATTAAATCCTCGTAGTTTCACCACTGAGGCATCCCCGTTTTAACATATTTTTAGTCATTATAAAAAGTCTTTCAACGACGCGTAAGGTAGGGTAGTTTATATGATTCATACCCTTATAGATAATCTATATATAGTAAAATCATCACAATCATTTTAAAATTATCAGCCAAAGTTTGATGAGTGCTAAAATGTTCTTATCCATATCCATCTGTGGTTGTTGAAAAAATATGAATATGGAACCAATCAAACATATTTGCTGATATTATTGTTTTTTTCGTCAGTATCACTAATAATCCAAAAATTCAGTTAATACCATATTTTCGTCCTCCATTGCATTGTGCTTGAATTGGAAAGAAATAAATTGACAGATATTTAATTAATTTAATTAAAAAATAATATAAAAAGTTAAATAAATGTAAAGATGTATCTATCAATATATGAAGATAAGAATGCACTTCGTTTTTATATCTTGATACTTTAATAACTCTTAGTCATAGAGATATTTTTAACTCGGATCTTGATATTTAAATCTTAATTCGGATAGGGTATCCGATAAGAAATTTTAAAGAATTGCCCGACTGATCCAATCCTCGTATTTTTTTATGGACGCGATTTCCATCTTTCCGAAATTTTATTTTCCCTTTTTCTTATTTTTTGGATTGTTAAAAAATAAAGATACTTAAACAAAAGTTAAAAAATTAGTGCTGAAGGAAGGTTAACGATATTGGTATTATTTTTACAAATTATATTGTCATTAGGAAAACAAGATAATTTAAAGTTTTCGGGACTAGGCTTGCCTATTTTTTTTTCAGTTTTTGACTGACTGATCAAATGCTACTATTTTTTTCAAAAGGCTGTATATTGGATCTTTGCAAGTATAGTCAAATGTAGGAATGATGTTGTTTCGCATAAATTGGAATTTTAAGATCTGCATGAATAAGAATGTCACTGATTGCTTTTCTTATGTTGATGATAGGTCTTAACAAGGAACCTGGGGTTGGATAGGTCAACGTATTCCTTTAGTTACTAATCTCTCGAGTTCTAATTTAATATGTAATCGTAAAGTGTTGGAATTCACCTAGCTGGAATGTATGTTAGTTGGGCGTTTTAATTGAATTCTCGCTTAAAAAATTGGATAACTTTTGCCCTGATATCGAAATTGATTTTTTATTTGCGTCCTGGACTGACCTATCATCGAATATCTCGTTGAAGGTTGAAATTGATTTTCTATTTGTGTCATTTATCAAATTAATAAGCTTTGCTTGGTTTATTTGCAAGTGGGGTAAAATTGGTAGATGGAAATTCAAACGAGGGAATGTAAAAATAAGTGCGTTGTTAGATTACGTCCATATTTGAGATAACATTCTGATCTTACCGCAATTGCAATTACACGTAGATATTGGTTTCTTTTAGACATTGAAAGGAGTTTCTGTAGTTCAAACTTAGTTGGATGATGGCGAGGTCAGACACATTTTTTGGCTCGGTTTTGATTTTGACCAATTTGTCAAATGCGATTCCTTAAATCTCCGAGCTTTAATGTTTTTCGCAATGTAACGAAAGTGATATCATGCTCTAGTTTGTAAAAAGTTGTGTAAAATAATTTACGCCTAATGTTCGATATTATAACTTTTTTAGATTAATGTAATTCCAAGTTTCATTATTGAGAATAAAGGTATGCAAACGGCATAATTTTTAGGCCCGGGGTGGAAATATAATCTTACAATTTTAATAAGGTTGTCAGACTCAGTTTTTAAATCCATGGCCTAAACCGAAATATATGCTGTTGAATACCAAAATAAACAACATTTATAGTATTGAATGATTAAATTAAAACTACTATACTTTATGGATTATCACTTCTATGAAATATCTAAATTTATCAAATATATACAAAAAAATTTTTTGCCAGGTCTGGCCCAAATAAAAAATCAGACGTTACCCTGAAAGGCTGGACCTTGCAGACTGACTAAGAATAAGAATATATATTGGTATTTTTCCGCAATTTAGATAATAAGGAGATAAGGTTTTAAAGAAGAAAAATTTATAAACAACACTAGATTAATTGGAATTCTTATAAACTTATTTTTTATATAAACAAAAATTCGTATAAATTTAAAGACCGATCATTATCCTTATTTATTCTCTGGGTACAGGTTAATTTCGAGGTGAGTTTTCCTAACAAAATTAATCATTTCTAATGATCCTCAAAATATTTATAGTAGTCAAAAGCAATTTTACATCAATTATATTACTATCAACTTAAGATAATTACAAGGCGATCAATGTTTAATATAATAATATTCATATTAATATATTGAAATAAAAGACCAGAATCGTCCACTGAATCATTTGTTAAACTTGAGGGTTAAAATTTCTATAAGAATTGCTTCTCGGGTAAATAATGCGAGATTTTTCTAAATGACTAGTCCTGTGGTCTAAGAGTAGTTTAAGAGTTTCAATGCATTTACTGGCTATGATAAATCGATGAAAATTTTAATTTTAAGTCTGCTATATTTTTGAACAACATGATGTAGTTTATAGTTAAATTGAATGTGTTTTGCCTTTTTAAAGTGTTATAATTTCAGGACATGGATTATAAGAAAACTTAAAATATTTTGATCTCAGAAGAGAGAGATAAAGATTTTTAGAATGCTCAGGATTTTTGATAAAATTTTATCTAAAAATATATTTTTATAAGTAAATTTGTGATTTTTATGCCTAAAAAATCTTTCATGAAATCATTTTTTTGATCTTTAAAAAAAATTCAATTTTGTTGATTTTGACAGGTGTTAGGAAAAAAATGAATATATTATATCTTTTTTCATTGCGGTCTCGGATATTGTTGTGGAGAAAATGGTAGTTGTGTTGTGTGTCATATTTTTATATACATATTTTTATATTAATATTGTGTAATGCCAATCAACGAAATAAATAAGGTTGATTAGATTATAATTAACGTTGAATAACACGTGATGAATAGATATATTTGTTTTTACCAATATAATTGTAACATCATTATAAAATTATCGTATTTTTTTTATATTTATTTTGTAATTGTTGAAAAAATTATTGCTTCTGATATTCGTAAAGCTATCAATAAAGATATTTTCAATTATTGTAAATTATAATTCCAAAGAGAATAGTTTTGTGTAGTGTAAATTAAGTATTTGAAGGGTTGAAAGGAAGGGATTTGTTTTAGTTAGTTTTATAAATTGCAGATTAAGTATTGGAGAGGTTGAAAGTAAGGGATTTTTATATTGTGTACAAAGATGTCTTTTTTTACAGAATCAGGGGCCTCAATAGATTTCAAATTATAAGTAGGTACCCCATAAGTATTTTTTTTGTGTATGGAAGGGGGGGGGGGTGGAAGGGAGGCTTAAAAATATTTGTGTTACGCCTCTGTCTATGTGCTAATAAATTTTATCACATCAAATGTTGATTTGATATAATAGATATTGTGTTATATTTGTAGTCGCTAAAACTGTTATTTTATTTTATCTATTTTTATACACTGATTTTTCTCGTATCAGATATCCATGGCCTTTAAATGTTTTTTTGATAATTTGTAATCTATTCTCTGAAGCTTGGACATTTTTTAATAAAATATCCTATTTTGATAACATCGTCTGTTGGTCAGCCTTTAGGAAATATAACAGTATATTTTGAATTGTATGTAATGGCGTAACTAGAAATTTTCTTTGGGGTGGATATACACCTATAAATGGCAGGAGTCTTCACCCTCAGACCCACTATTAACAAACCTTCGGCCCATTTTCTCGGTCTTCAGCCCATTTTCTTGGTCTTCAGCAGGTTTATCTTAAAAACCATATTTCTTTTTATTTTCCTCTATACATTAAATTTAATAATATCAAGTTATTCTAATTAAAATAACATAAAATTTGACATTTAATCATTTTTATTAATTTATAAAATTAAGGAAATTAAATTGTTAAATCAAATATATAGGTACTTTTATACAACGCTCTAATTTTTTCAAGCATAAATAAATTTTATTTAAATTGATAGTTATTTTTATTATTTAATGTTTATGTTTATATATTTGATCTAATCTTAAACTATATAATTTTAAAAAAAATATTAACAATAAAAATTATAGATTTTAAAAATTACTGCATATGGGTGGTTGGAAATAGTGATAATCAAAATTTGTAAAAAGAGTATGTGTCTGAAGACCATTTTAATGAATTAGAGTTAAACATATAAATGTAAAAAAAGGACAAAATGTTTATTAGGGTGGTAAAAACAACTATCTATCAATCATATTAAATATGAGGGATTTTGATTAGACTAACCTAAAATATTGCTTATAAATTAGGGATGGGAGTGGGGGTTCTACTCAAACCTATAGAAGCAAGGTAATAAACTTTTTTTTTATCATATTTATATAAGAGATGTTCATTTGGGGTTACAAAAAATATATTAATATTACAGAGGGCTTGGGATAGGCATCCTCATAGATACTTGTCAATTAGATCTGTAATTAATATTAAATTCATTTAAACAAATAAAACAATCTGATAGAAAATAGTATATAATTTGATATGTTTAAAAAAATCAAACACAAATCATTTTTGAATTGTGTCTATTGTCAATAACTATCTTAATATCAGATATAAAGAATTTTCCAAACATGAAATAGTTATCATTAACAGTTAAATAGTTAAAAGTAAAAATTTGTTTTAATGAAAAGTTAGAAATATAAAAAATTTAGTTAATTTTAGTCATTCTTGATTTTATACTTATAACATGAATAATTTGCATTAGTACTTATAAATTTTATAAAAATTATTGAATTATATTTTTTTAAATTGTTCCAATCATGCTATATTTACATTAAAATATAACTTTATTGAATTGGCTTAATAAAGGTAGCAATATATCAGTTACTAAGATATAAATAAATATTAATATCATAAATTCTTATTAAAGTAATATATACTTTTCAATAAAATATTGTAATTTATAGACTGCTTTACTATTTAGGGAATACCGTCTATAAATTTGAATGACATGAAAAGATGTAAAAAAAATAATGGATGTCAATAATAAGATGACATTCCATAAATTAAATTAAATTTAGTAATACCAGTGGCCAGAGATGGGCAAATCCTTAGAAAAAGGAATCTATATGCAGATACAAACTCGTTATAAAAATTTTATTGGCTACAAAATGAGTGTTTTTAAAACTCAAAAAGATATAAGATGCTTGTAACCTGAATCTATTTCTGCACAATGAACCAGTGGCGTCGCTAGGAGGAGGCGCGTAGGGGCTCGAGCCCCTTGAAGCAAAATTTTTTTTAATGACTTCTTAATATCCCCTTGAACTAAAAATAAATTTTTCTAATTGCTCCCTAAACAATTTCTTTTATAATTCTATTGAGTAATATATAGATTTAATTTTATTATTTAAAAATTAATAAGACTATCTAAATTTTTATTAAATGAATACTATTTTAACTATTAGATTAGATTAATACATATAAATTATATTTTCACTATGTCAACTTGCGATCAAATTCGAATCTTAATTGACTTTTATTATTTAAATTATTATATATCCCTAATTAAATTAATATAATCATTTATTAATTGAAAATTAACAAATTTAATTGTAATTAACCGAGTTTAACATCGCTAATCAACTATATTATTGATTTTTAAATTTAATTATCATGTCTCTTTCTAAAATTATGTTCAAGGTCCAAATCTAAATAAGTATGAGAGATTTATTTATAAAAAGTAAGTAGACATATAGTTTATAATCCTCTATTTTATATAATTATTTATAAAATATTATGTAAAATGCCACTTTTGCAGACGTATTTGACAGAATATATTACAGTTAATATTTTTTAAATTTTACTAATCAATGCTTTTGATAACAAATATAAGTAACAATTTGAATTCAACTATTTAACGCCATATATTTATTTAAAATTATTATAATTAACCATCTTATTATTCATCACCAGAATCATGTCTCCCCCCATCAGCGGGAGACTCTAGCAATTTTTTAGTTTACACGCAGACATCTCTCTTTCGCAAAACTACCGCAATTGGAAATCTCCCGCAAAAATCTACTTTAATTTTTTAATTTCTCCCGCGATTTTTTTAAATTTTTAACGTTTTTAATATATAAATAATAATTTTGAGAGACAGTAATTGATTATTTTTATATTTTTAAAATAAATTTTAAATATTTATTCGAAAAACATGTCTAGTTTGTAAATTTATTTCTATCCTGTTTTATTTTTATCCAATAATAAATCAACATCATTTCATTCATCAGTACAAAGGAATGTATCAACATCGATTGCAATACAAAAATATTCTCCAAAAATAATAAATAATACAGATGCAACTATAGTTGCGGAAATCGTATACACCTATCATGTAGTTCAACATTCACAGAGCTATATCATCACAATGTGGATCAAATCTTTTTCCCATGATATTTAGCGACTCCAATATAAGTGCAAACCTTACTTGTGGTAGAACAAAAATGAGCAGTGTTTTAGTATCTGAATCCTAGAGGTCAATTCTAGACCATTTGAAAGATGGGCATCCATATGCAATTCTGACAGATGCATCTAATAAGGGAAATATTAAAAAATTTCCCTTGATCTTTCGCTATTTCAACAAGAATAAGAACATTTCAAAAAAACTGTTAAATTTTTTTCCTCAGATAGGAAAAATCCTACGATGTAGTTAACCACATAATGTAAATATAGCTGATTTAGGGTTATTAATGAATTGCATGTCAGCTTTCTGCGCTGATAATGCCTCCGTAAATTTTGGCAAAAACCAACACAATAATGAATTAATACCAATTGACTGTATATGCCATATACTACATGATTCTTGCAAGAAGGCAATGAATGTACTATCTGTGGATGTTGAAATAATTATGATGAGATGTTTTAACGAATTTAATTCTTCAACTATAAGAGTTAATGAATTAAAAGAGTTGGTGGAGTGGTCTGACTTAAAATAGTGTGAGTTGTTTCGATATGTATATCAGGTGCATATCGTTAATATATGCCATCGATAGAATTTTTAAATTTTACAAACCCTTAAAAAAATAATTTTTAAATAAAGATATTAAAAGCTGTCCTTAAATTTTGAAAAAATTTTTCAAGTATGAAATAGCAGAAGCATATTTGAGATTAGTTTCACATGTAGGAAATCTACTTCATGAAGTTAATATTCAGTTGCAATCATAATATTCTTTATTAATAAAGATTCACAAAATTAAAGTAAAAAATTGATAATAAATTTTATGACGCTATTGCTAAAAATATTAAATGTTCAAATAATACTCTAATTATTACATTTTTAAATGAAGCAGATATTTTTATTAAGACAATTTTAGAATATTTACGATCAAAATTTGATTTTAATAACTCTATTTACAAATGTATAAATATTATGACCTTGGAACAAAAACCATCAATTGATGGTTTTTGTAATTTAATAAATATATTAGAGGAGATTGTAATTCTCTCTATTTTTTATGATTCGCCAGAATACTTAAAGTTAGATTGTCTAAAAGCAGAGGAGAAACGGGTAGAATTTTTCCGTAATAACAATATATCCCCATGCTTGGAAAAAAATTGCGAGTATGTCTTCTTTACCTCATTCTAATGCCCCATCCGAGCGCATTTTTAGCCTGATGAGGACTGTCTGGGAAAAGAATTGCTTTAACAACATTAGAGGCCACGGTAATGGTTAAACAAATTTATAATATGTCATGCCAGGAATTTTATAAATATCTCAATAACGACAACGGTAAACGTCCAGTTTCATTATTTAAATCTTAAATTAAATATAATTAACATTATATTTAATTTTCCATATTTTTTTATTTATACATTCGCATAAAATAAATATATTTTTTACATTGTAAATCAAAAATAGAGAGCATTGCATTATCCTCAAACAAGACATCAATGTCTATCGGTATTTTTAAAATATTTGAACATTTTAATATAGTTTTAGCAATGGCGCCATAAAATTTATTGTCAATTTTTAACTGTAAAGATTAACACATCTGCAGCATAATTTTGTGAATCTTTGTTAAGATTCTTCTGATTGCAACTGCACATTAACAGTATGTAGTAGATTTCCTACATGTGAAATCATTCCTAAATATACCTCTGCCATTCATTACTGAAAATTTTTTTTAAAATGTTAAGACAGCTTTTATAAACTTTATTTAAGAAATATTTAAAGGTTTATAAAATTTAAAAATTCTATAGATGGCGGGTATTAGGAACATATCGCATCCAACATTGTGCTGACTCAATTCTGTAAATACACTCTGGTTTTTTCCAAATTCACTGAGGCATTATCAGATCAAAAAGTTGACATGTAATTTATTGATAATCCCGAATCTGCTATATTTACCATTATATGGTTAGGTATGTCTTTGGATTTTTCACTATTTGAGGGGATAAAATTTAATAGTTTTCTGGAAACGTCCTTAATTTTGTTGAAATAGCGAAGAATTAATATTTCCCTTATTAGATACATCTGTTAGAATTGCATATGTATGCCCATCTTTCAAATCGTCAAGAATTGACCTCCTGAATTCAGGTTCTAAAACATTGATGATATCCTTGCTCATTTTTGTTCTACAAGTAAAGTTTTCATTTATCTTGGAGTAGTTAAATATTATGGGGAAAGATTCTACCTATATTGTAATGATAAGTAGCTCTGTGAATGTTGTACTACAAGATAAGTGATTACAATTGCCACAACTATAGTTTCATCTGTATTATTTCTTGTTTATGGAGAATATTTTTGTTTTGCAATGAATGTAGTTACACTCCCCTGCACTGATTATAATAATGTGATTGAACAATAATAAATAAAATAATTATCATTGAAATGAGTACAATATTACCTTATTATATATTTAAACGTGATACGTGATAATTAAGCGCCTATCCCTATAATGTTATACTCACACAAGATAGATTTCCAATTGCGGATGTTTTGCGGGACATTCGCATAAAATATATTTTTTACATTGTAAAATTAAAATCGTTTGTTTTTTTATAAAACTTTATCTTCTTTTTTATAAATTTATATATTTTAATAAATCAAGATGTTATTTTATTTTGAAAAATAGTTACCGAATTTGTATTTACATAAACTAATTATAAAAAATAATAGGCGGTTAATTAAGTCAATTCAAAATCCCGGCCTTTTTAGCAAATTTTTTATTTCTACCGCAATTTTCATATTTCTCCCTCAATTTTCATATTTATCCCGCAAAATACCAAATTTCTCCCGCAATTTGAAAATTTTGACCTGGCAACCCTGTTCATTACAAAATATTTGTAATAAATTAGATATCTTTTCTTCTCTTTATTTACGTGTTTTTAGGAAAGCTATTTTTTTCTTCTTAGAATAACAGTTTTGAGTTAATTTTAATACGAATATATTTAAGATATTTTTACAAACTACTATTATTTTAAAATATAATATACCAACCAATGATATATATCATTACCAACTTGAGATGGTGCGACAATAATATATAAAATTTTAATTGCTTTCATGATATCACTCTTCTTATTTTATAGTTACAAAATGTTTCATTTCTAATATGTCATCCTTGCCGTGTAAATTCAAGGCTTCAATATATTTGAATAATTTCTTCTAAAGATTTTTAGTGTTTTTGTTTCATCAATTTATCTAACATAATAAATTCTGATATGGGTTACCATCGTGAGTGTCATGGCTATAACTGTAAATTAACCAGCATCTATTATTTGTGTGGCTATGTAATTTAAGATTATTACTAGCTGTGAGCAAATGATTGCATATTTTAGATATGCATAATGATCAACTCTGTAGTCGTTTATATACCATTAAAAATGCAAAATAATCTTTTAGAAATTGGATATCTCACAATAATTTTCTCAAATACTTATCTAGCTTCTATCATGCCATCTAAAAGGTAGCTCTAACTATCATATAGTTTTAAGATTTGGATTGGTCAT